TGGTTCAATGGAAGGGGAGGGAGCCGAGTTGTAAATTTTTGGGCTACGCGGGGGGTGTGGTGGGGTTGGGGTGTGGTGGCCGGCCGGAGTGGTCGCGGCGGGGGCGGAGGTGGTTCATTGGCAGGGGCGGGAGGCGGGGGTAGGGTCTTGTGCAGCGATTGTGTAGGGTTGGGGTGTGGTGGGACTTGGGCTGGGGTGCGGTGGTTGGCTAGAGTGGTTGCAGCGGGGGTGGAGGTGGTTCAGTTGCAGTGGTGGGAGGCGATTGTGCTGGGCTGTGGCGGGGTGTGGTGGTGCTAGGGTGTGGTGGACTGGAGTTGGGGCTTTGGGTTGGGTGCGGTGGCCGGTCAGAGTGATTGGGGCGGAGGTGATTCAATGGCAGTGGCTGGCGGCTACAGTCATTGGACGGGCGGGTGGTGACAACATTCATTGGGAAAGGGTCAATGGCAGTCACTGGCCGGGGGCGGGGGCGGCAGTCACTGTGACAGTCACTGGGCGGCAGTCACCGGCCCCGAGGTAACGACAGTCACCGGCCGGGATTAATGGATTATTTTGGCAGGAGTCACTATAACCTGAGTCAATGTGGCGGCGGACATGTCGGGGGTGGCGGCAGTCACCGGCCCGTTGGCAGTCACTGTGACGTCGGAGTCACTGCCCGGAGGCGGCGGCAGTCACTTTGACCGGAGTCACTGAGATAGTGACTGGCGGTGGCGGCGGTGGCGGTGGTGACGGCGGCGGCAGTGGTGCTGGGGGTCAGTGACCCGGAGGTGCTGGTGACTATTATTGAACATGAACTCCTAATCAAATGCATAAAAGAAATTTATTAAATACAATGAATAAAATGGCTGTTAGTCATATATTTGGAAAATTTTAAAGCATATCATACTTTTGTCTTTTCTATTTATTTTAGTAATATTGATAAAACAAGGCCATTTAATGTGCTTCTAAAATATACAAAAAATGAAGCTGCCAGGATAAACACAGGTTGGGAGAGTTTCTCAGCATACACAAACCACTACATTACATAATTCTTAAATCCAGTGCATTATCTCTTAATCGCATGTATACTCCTTTAGAAATACATTACTACTTTCCCAGATAATTCAAAAATATAATAAAAAACTCAATTTGAGATATTTAATTAAAAATAAAAACTAAATTAAAAATTATAATAAATACAAAATTTGTGATATTTAATTAGGAAAAAAACTCAATTTAAACATATAATAAAATTCATTATTTGCAATATGTAATCAATTATTATTACACAACTCAAAACGAAATAAAATATAAATAAATTTCATGCTGGTCCACCTCAATTTTTCTTATATTAATTTATCGAGTTTTTTTCTGTTAGATAAATTTTATATGATTTTTTTCATATGAGTAATATCCAATTTTAAATTGGGGTGGGCTAGAGCCATTTTCATGACATTTAGTTATTATAAATTTTAATTAGGTCCTTTTTTCAATTATCTATAATTTAGTATTTTATGTATTTTTTAAAAGCCACTATAAAGATTTTTTTTAGAAAACATTTACTACCTCCGTCCCATGTAAACTTAGATCCATTATTTTAATTAATATATTTATGTGGAACTTAATATATTTACACCCATATGATTGTATTTAAAAAAAATCTCATATCATTTCGTATTGTCAATACTGTCGTTTATAAACATATATAATAGGTCAAACTTTAACATCATTGACTTGAAAAGCCAAATTTAACTAATTAAAAAGGGATGAAGGGAGTATATGATATTTTACATTAAAAATATACTCCGTATATATTTTAAATTGTGATGGGCCAGGACTAGCATGAAATTTACTTATTGACTTGAAAAGTCAAATTTAACTAATTAAAAAGGGATAATGGGAGTATATGATAGTTTACATTAAAAATATACTCCGTATATATTTCAAATAATTTTTTGATAGCATATTGCACATTATGTTTTATTATAAGTTTAATTACGTTTTAATTTTTTAATTAAACATCCCAAATTAAGTTTTTTATTTAGGTTTTTAGGTTTTAATTGAATCTGTGTAATTAAGTTTTTTATTATATTTTTTAATTGTTTGGGAAAAAAGGAGCGAGTAATACACGTGATTAAGAGGTAGTGCACTCTTGGACTTAAGAATATGCTAAGTAGTATTTAAATATCTTAAAAAGCGATCGTGTTACAAGTGAGAGGTGTAGTTTAGTGGTTCAACTATAATGAGAAACATGCTCTCCCTTTGTTCAACCTAGTTTCGAACCCCGGTAGTGATTTTTTTTGAATATATTAGAAGACGCTTAATATTGGATGACATGACAAAAAATACCTTATGGAAGATGAAAATACCATACTACATGATTTTTTCGACGATTTTCGAACTTTTTTCTTTTTATTTATCTTTGAATTTGTTATATTATCTTTGTAAACTGCATAGCACTTTATTTAAAACATTTTACACCGTATCATATGAAATATTTTGAAATATTTTACCTAGAGGGAGTGTAGTAAATTGCTTTACACTCCAACTTACGGATGATAAAATACTTCGTATATCAGACTTCATCTTTAACCATTTAGCCCAAACGCAATATTATTTGTTTTTTTTTGGATTTGACTATTGGTGATTTTGGAGACTAATATTTGTGATTTTTATTTTCAACGATGAAGTTTTTACCTGAATATTGCTAAAAAAAAGTAGATAATGTACAAAAAAGTGACCATTTTTTTAAAGTTGCAAAAATGTGACTAAAAAGTCATATATGAAAATGTGATGTAATTGCTAAATCTATGTCACTAACACAATATCTGTCACATTTTCATGTCACTTAGGGATTTCATGCCATAATACGGTTACCATGATCATTGGGAAAAAATTGGCAACTATTTATGGTGAAATTGTACAGCACACCTTACTCGTTCTAGCCTCCTCCCCAGCGGCCCCTAGCCTCTGCACCACCACTATCTCAATTCAGCCCCTGCAACAGCCCTACCACTGTCCCTAACAATTCCCCTACAATAGCCCAGCCACCGTCACCCTGAAACCCTTAGATCTGGCCAGCAACTATAGTCCCAACCACCAGCCCAACACCACCGAACATGAACCTAGCTGCGAGCCCATCACTGTAGCTTCCATCACCGTCAAACTCTAATCGATCTAGTCGCTCATCGTCGTCGCTCGCCACACATCTCCGTCGCATGTTGCCTTCACCCGTCGCTCATGGCATCTATAGATTTGAATGATTTTGACCCCATCCACATAGAAACGAGAAGAAGAGAATGAAAAAAGGAGAAGAATAACAAACATGTGGAGTCAATGTCGACGACGTGGATGCGGCGAATGGCAAACCTGTGGAGGCCGTCCGCTTGGAGCTTGAGATAAGCATAGTCACAGGGGCGGAGGGACATATATTGTCAAGGGGGCCATATCCCCCCAAGATATCTATCTTTTAGCAGTAGTAATGCTCAATTTTTTTATTTGCTCCTTCTCACTATTGATTTTTTAACAAATGTCATGTTCTTTACTTCTTTAGTAGTATAACATTTATTGGCTTGGGTTGTATCAAAACTAAGCAGGAAATAAAAATAACGTTTAAGCTTAACTTGAATTGTAAATGACTTTATTCATGTAATCTAGACAGGGGAAATTTGTTTGTATCCTATCAAAACATGTTGAATATTTTTATGGCAATACTTTAAGACTTTTTATATGTATAATTAAATAATTGTCGATGATTTCCGTGACGTGCAAGAGATAAGTTCTCAATATTAATTGACATGCTATTCCATAATGTTTTAAAACTTTTTTGATGATTATTAAAACATCATTTGATCTTAACATAATACTACCTCTGTAACATTTATATCTTCTAGTTTAAATGTATGGGAGATTAAGAATAGTGAAAGGGGATAAAATTATTGAGCGTATGATGAGAAGATAATCAGTGTGCTGGAATGATGTATAAATTCAAAAAAGTAGTTGTAATAGTATATTATTTTTAAAATTATTAAGAGTATGATCGAAAGGTTTAGAATTGGAAAGATATGAATGTTGCGGCCAAAAGTACGGAGAGTGTACATAGTATTTTGTGTTACTGTTTGTACTTTAACCCGGCCCCTCTCTTTCCAATCCTGGCTCCGCCCTTGAGCATAAAGCTAGGATTAGGTGCTTCAGACACAATGGGCGGGAGATAGGGAGCTGGGGAGGTGGGGGTTACTTTTTTGTCATACCATAAATTAGTTATATTTTTGTCAATTGGAGCTTTTCATAATAGGTTTTAAAATACAACCATGTTTGATGTACACACCCTTGTACACACCTTATACACATCATGTTTGTGAAACTTTTTTTTGTCTGTGAACCCGGTTCACAGACAATATTTTGTTTGTGCAAAACATTGTCTGTGAATCGATGTTCACAGATAAAAAAAAAAGCTTTCATAGACATAGGTGTGTACAAAAGTGTGTATAAAAGTGTGTACACATCATTTTTGTTTAAAATATACTCCCTCCGGTTACGAAAGATCTTTACAACTTTGACTTCACAAATATTAAGGACTTTAACACATTTTGACACTGTTTGGTGTAGATTTGTAAGGCAAATAAGAAGTGTAAAGATAATTGTGCTACCGCAAAAAATGGAAAATGTAAACATCTTTCGAAACCGGAGAGAGTAAGAAAGTAAGGTGATGATTTTAGGTTTGAGTTTTAGCTTCCTTATTCAAACCCGGCCTGAACCTAGGCTACCAAAAAACGGTCTTGAACCGAATATAATGAGTCTTGTTCTAATCTCTAATTGATTATAATGAGTCTTGTGTTGATCTCTAATTTTTGAATTCTACTGAGTACTACTTTGATTTTAGTGCTTAGCAAAAATCAGATCTAAGTTTTGAATTCCTATCAGGCTAGATTAAAAAAATTCAGATCAAATCAGATTTTAAAAAATTGAGACATAACTAAACAACTTTATAGAGATGTCACCCACCTACAAGTATGGACTATATAATGTCCTGCGTATAAACTATGATATGTACTTGTGTAGGCCACCATCACACCCACTCCTCGAGCTCAACATTGATTTCAATCTCATTTTACAGTCTTCTCTCCCAACCAGGTACGCGGTTCTTGATTCTTTATCTGTGAGTAGCTGTGGGAGTGCATGAATTATTCTTAATGCTTTCAGAGGTTGAATTATGTTTATTTTCTGGGTCAATCTGTTTCGCGCCCGGCACTTCCGCAATGTGCGTTGACCGCAGGTGTTTGTATGGTCAGATCAGGAGGGGTAAAAAATTTACAATGAAACTGGGAAACTGGGTTATGGATAAAAATCTTGACTTTTGTCGTTACTGATATGGAGAAATCCATTTCTCAGCTACAGTTTTTCATCTCACTCAGACCTTTTCAGATTCCAATATGTTTGGGGAATGGTTTCTTTTGTACGATCTAAATTAGGATCGATCCGTAGCTAAAGGTGGCTCATTCTGCATATCAGCACAATAACTGTGAGGAGGAAGTTTTTACTTGGAGTGAAATTTGCTGGTCTGGTCTGAATTGGTCTAGTCAGTTAAATGTCTGGTCTCTGAATTTTATAACTATCCAAGTCTGGTGTGGTTTGATCTGAGATTGAAAACAGTCCAAGTAAAAGCATCATAAGAAGAATAATTAGCATGATCACTAGAATAAGTATCTTTTAACCTTTGAACCTATATACTATAATAGGAAAAAAGTATCTTTTAACATACTACAATCATTTGCGTAAATGAGTGTCACTATAAGAATTTATTTTCAGTAAAATCCAGTCATTTAAGACACTAAGAGCCCGTTTGGAATTAACTAAATCGGCTGAATCTGCTTAAATTGATGAAATTCAGGCTTAAGTAACAGAATCCGCTCAATTAAGGAAAATTTATGTTTATAATATATTTTAATAATAAAATGAAGGAAAAATTATATGAAAAATAGCTAAACTGGTCCTCTATAGTAAATTAAGCCAATTTAGTGAGAAAAGTAACTCCAACTTTATATATTTTGTATATTACACATTTTTGCGTGCAAAATCAAAAGTTATGTGTTTAGTAAAAAAGTTGTCTGCTAAGAGCCTAAGAATAATAAGCTGAAAATAGAGATTACCAAACGGGCTTTAAGTCTTACAAAGGGGCTCTTTGGAGTTTGGGTTTGTTTTGCTTAGAGATTTTGGACGAGGAGGAAGTATTTGATTTTTGTTTTACTGATTTATTTGTATTTGTTAGTCACACACTAAGAGCCCGTTTGGTAGTACGAAAATCGGCTGATTTGGCTGATTCTGCTGAAATTTGTGAAGTTCTGGCTGAAGTGGTTGCATTGGCTGATTCTGCTGATTTAAGAAAAAAAAATTATAAAATATATTTTATTAATAAAATAAAGAAAAAATTATATGTAAAAATAGCTAAAATGGTCATCTACAGTAACTTCAGCCAATACAGCCAGAAAAGTAACTCCAACCTTACTTTTTCTGCTTATTACACAATTCAGCGCACGAAAGCAAACGTTACGTGTTTGGTGAAAAAGTTGGCTGATAAGCCTGATAAGCCGAAAAACATTATTGTCAAACGGCCTCTAAAAATAGCATACAATTAGTTAAAATATGTCTTTCTATATCGGGTTTTTTTCTTCACTTTGTTTCCAACCGTCTGATTATTTGAATTGTGTGAAAAGTAAATGTCACGCTCCCCTTCCATTCCCTCTGGAATCCCCTATCCAAACCAGTCTATCACAAAGTAATATGTTTCTACCTTACAATTTTATCTTCTTAGGGGAGAATGGAGCATGAGGGTTGCTATCAGCATGTTTCAGAGCCAAAATATGAATGCCTTCTTTTTGGTGATCAAACTTGTACACATTTTTCTTCTACCCCAATAAAAGAGACTGTAATTTCAAGTGACTCATACCAATGTTTGTTCTCAAATTTTCAGATGTTGATGATACCCTTTACCCTTTTAGTTCCGGTATATCAGCACAATGCACCTTGAACATAAATGGTAATTTTCAACTTGTTCTGTTTTTAGAATTTTGCTAACTAGAAATGCACCCAGCTAATTATCAACACTTGATGTGTATTGTAGAATATATGATTCAAACGCTTGGCATTGAGGCTACAAAAGTTCCAGGAATGTGTGTGCAACTTTATAAGGACTATGGAACAACAATGGCTGGTCTGAGGGTATGATATGTTCTTATAAGTGTTACTTTAGTTTATACCATCACCATATCTTAACAAGGCGGCTAGATATCTATTTAATCCCTCAGTTTGCAAGTTTTACATTTCTAGTCAACTGTAGTTGTACTCCTTAGGCTCTGCTTGGAGGGAGGGGTTTGTTTGGGAAGGGGATTAAGAGGGCGTAGTTGATGTATTTATCAATAGAAGAATGTAACAATGAAATAAAGGGTATTGAAATGCTGTATGATAACATATTGTGTGAATCTACAACAACATCCAAGCCTTAGTATGCGCGTGATGGCCAACAATATCACATAGTCACATCATATGACATGAATCGAAGTATTGTGTGAATATTTCAGTTTTTTTCAAATCTCAAACACACACTAGTGTTTGTTTTTGCAAGTAGTCAACAACGTTGTAAGATGGATAAAATAGCAAAATCAGGTACTGAAAGCACAATTTTACTCTAACAAGAACTTTATTAGCTGAAAACTAACTAGTTTAAGTTCTACTTTTCACTCTCCAGGCTATTGGCTATGACTTCGATTACGATGAATACCATAGGTATCGGTCCATTGCCCATCTGTGCATATATGTTATCCAGATAAGTGATGAGTACCTGATTTTACTTCTTTTGTCCACAGCTTTGTGCATGGACGGTTGCCTTACGAGCTCTTAAAGCCAGATCCTATCTTGAAGAATCTTTTACATAGCTTGCCTGTTCGAAAAGTTGTAAGCATCTATCTCGAAAGCCTAAAAGCTTCAATTTTATCATAAATTAAGACGTTTTGTTAATGTGTAACAGATATTCTCAAATGCAAATGAAGCCCATGTGGCTAAAGTTCTAAGTAGATTGGGTCTAGAGGGCTGCTTTGATCATATTATCTGCTTTGAGACTCTAAATCCTGCTCGCACTAGTAGTGCAGAGGACCTGAGTGATGGTATGAGGAATTAAATAAAATGCCATATCCAAATAATCCATCTGTTCTCAAATGACTATCCATTTAGCATTGACCAAAATGAAGCATAATAAAATCACTAGTGGTTTCCCATATTTATTTCACTTTTCCTTGGATATCAAGAAACCAGCAAGGGTATGCTTGTCAATTTAAGACAAAATTAGTCATCGCCTTAAAAATAATTTTTCCTTGAAAGGACAGCTGTTTGAGAACTAATGGAGTATTAAAAGCTTCTATAAAGGCCGTACTTATTGTTATTGATTGTTGCAAGTTTCAGGATTCCCCAAGTCTCCAATTGTATGCAAACCATTTGAAGAAGCCTTTGAAAAGGCTTTCAAAATTGCTGAAATTAACCCCAAGAGAACGGTAGGATTCATCATGTTCTTCGCTTGGTGGTTAACTCGAAGCATTATGTACTCAGTCATTTGCCTGTTCAACTATATTTCACCATCTAATAATGTGTCTTATGTTATGCCACCAGCTGTTTTTCGACGACTCTATCAGAAACCTGCAGACTGCCAAGCGCATTGGTCTCAACACTGTCTGGGTAAGTTGACTCGTACACATTTTAGTTTCAATTGCGGTTGATGGGTTCAACCCAACCGCTCTGACCAGCCTACTCCATGAGCTGAGGCTAAGCCCAACACTCACTCGCACATGACAACTACAGTTTGAGGTTGAGCTCGGCTTTCAGGCCTCATAAATGACCATTTCAGCATTCAATTTGTAACGCGTTGGAGATTCACTACTGCAAATATTATTGGTGCAGTTTTAAAAGTCATCCACATTGGATCGAATAAATATAGCATACTAATCAACATATGAAGTATAAGAAAATGAACTATTCCCTTAAGATTAAAACTGAGAATAGAATGGATTAATATTGAAACAGAGCCTTAGCTTATTTAAATAGAAAAAAAATAACTCGGCCAGCACTAGTTTTGTCTTGTCCTATTTTGGAGTAACTAAAACTGGAAGGTTTGGACTGGTTTGAAGCATCGGTTCCGGTCCGAAACTGGTATGCGCAACACATAAACAAACCAAGGCCAGTCCCGGTTTGCAACTAGGACCGAGCATCCTACTCGTAAGTATCAAAAACGAATTCACAAAATTTAAGATTTTGACTTCTAATGAGCTACCAACTATGGGTCTCCAAGGTCAGTAGTGTACAAGCATTACTGGAGCCTGGAGTCATTTATTTCTTTGATCCTTACTCATCTTATGTCATGTGGGGACTTGCGAAACATAATTCAATAAACTTGTTTAATTTCATGACTTTGTGAATAGGTTGGCGCCTCGCATCTGACGGAGGGAGTGGATTATGCTCTAGAGAGTATTCATAATGTGAAGGAGGCACTACCGGAGATATGGGAAGCCTCTCAAAAGTCTGAAGTTTGCTATTCCGAGAAAACTCCTATTGAAGTCCAAGCATAGGTCGGTTTGCTCAAAAAACAATCATCGAATTACTACGAAATAAGGATTCTTTCTTGTATTGCATTGTGCTAATTTTGGGTTGTAGATATGAACCTGATATTTTCACGTGTTAAAGCTATGTTAAACTAGTTAACAATTGGCTGAAGTTTAAAGCAAATGAGCTCATTATGAGTTTATTATGATTTCATGTTGTACTATAACAACAATATGGTGACTGTATTGAATATTTGAATACCTCGAATTAGAGGTGGAACCATTACTATATGTTGAATAAGTGGAATGATTACAGCATTTTAATTCATGGGAGTATTCTGGTTATAGACATTTATGGTTGGGTAAGATTTTTTTAAGGAGATGGAATAGTCGAAGGGGACTTACATGGTATAAAAATAGACTTCTATTTTTTTTTACTCCATGGGGGTCTGGTGAAGAGGATCTGGGGTCTGGATTAATCAGAGCTGAAACTCACTCCATTGAGTTTCAAATCCTTGTGTGTCTAGCGGGTTTTGAACTCGAGACCTCCCACTAAGCATGATAATCTTACAACCAGCGGGGCTGGAATGCTTGGTTAAATAGACATCTAATTTCTAAACTCTGAATCTTAATTATTTGGAAAGGGGAAAGGTATTAAAAACCAGATTTTGAGCGGGTGTGGCATGAACGATATTGGGATGTAGATAGAAATGCACTTTAATTTGTTAGCCATGGAGACTTCCATTTTTATGTCAATTTTGCTTTTTTGATCATCAAATCCTACTAATATATTAAATCAAAAAAACATCCGTCACATGACTGATAATACAATCAAGAAAAAAGGAGTAAACAAAATGATAAAAAGCCTTATGTCTACCGTCCGCCCTCGAACCAGACTGAGAATCTATCACCTCTTTAGAAGCAATAACATTCGCTGATCTTGTACTGAGCATAACTGAGCCAATGACTAGCAAACTAGACTTCTCATCACCTAACCTAAATTTAAGAATCTCTCTGCTAGGAAAAAAGAACACGTCCAAAACAACATGCAATTCGACAGAAAAACACAAACTGAATAAAACACAATTAAAATAGAGTTCATCCATCTTTTTCCAAAGCCTAGATTTGCTTGCACTCCATGGCGGCGGTTCAGAAGGGGGACGCGCCCGCCGCTCATTCGCCACACCCTCAACATCAGTTTCAACTAGGGATGACAATGGGGCAGGGTTGGGGCGGGGGTTCACTCCCCCATCCTCCACCCCGTGTCTAAAAAATTGCCCTCGCCCCCGCCCCATCCCCCACTACTATTCGACCCGCCCCATCCCCCGCCCGACCCGCTAGACCCACGGGTACCCAACGGGGAAAATGTTCGTCAAAAATTAACACTATTTTAGACCCACAAAGTTTTTCAAAAATCAAACAACAATTCTAGTATGTAGCCAAAAAACCTTTTAGTTTTTAAGTGTCAATGTAATCTTACATCCCATTTCAAATCTAGAACACATTATACATGTTTTGATTTAGTCATTTTATCAAACACTTTATTAGCATTGATTAGCTCTATAATGTTTTCTTAAGTCCTTCATTCAATCAACCACGATCATTTGACAGAACCTAGGACGACCTATGATCACCAGATTTTTAAAAGTCCTAACTATAATCATAAAGATGACATTCATAAGAAAAGAATTAATGCACTATAATAGTAAAAGAAGAAAACATTCACACTGTGCCTGAAGTGTTTAAGCTATTATCACTTTATAACTTTCCCAAATTCATTTTACTTTATATGACTTTGATAACAAATTTTACAAGATAGGAAACAAGAAACAACTAAAATGACTATTAGGGACAAGAATAGGAAACAACTAAATCCACCGGGCCACCGTGCTATTTTAATTACTTCGTATTAGTAATTACATATTTATGACTAAAATGAAGAATGTTTACAAAAATGTGACTAGTGACTAGAGTAGTAATGAAATTATAGTATCTTATGTTCAATTTTTAAACATAGGTTACTATGACACTACATTGTAGTAACTAATAGTCATATTTGTGTAAAATAAATTTTATTTTACAATTTTTTTGTAAATACCCTTATTATTATTGTGATTACTAATTATTAATATGTCTATATATACGGGGGACGGGGCGGGAGTACATAACCCATCACTCGCCTCATACTTAAGCGGGGAGGAAATAATTCCCCCATCCCCATACCCGCCCCACCCCACCACCCGCCCCAACCCCCCCCCCCCCCCCCCTCACGGGGCGGTTCCCCACGGGGCCCCGCCCCCATTGCCATCCTTAGTTTCAACTAGATCGAGTTCTTCCTCTGCCTCAATCGCCATCTTCTTGTATTTTTCCCAGAAATTGTCCATACAAACTAGGGGTGGGCATAACGGTTCGATTTGACCGAACCGAACCGTACCAAACCGAATTAAACCAAATCGAAACCGAACCATTTGTAATTTGGTTTGAGTTTGGTAGTATTCCTCCCAACCCGTATTAAACCGAACCAAACCGAACCGAAATCATAAAACCGAATAAAACCGAACTAATCTAAAAATGAAATAATTTCTTATTTTTTTTAAAATAACAAATCAAAATCAACTTACACCAAACTAAACCAAACTAAAATATAAGATTTCTCTCATTAATTTGATTGATGTTAATCTTTTTGAAGCTTTAATTCTTTAATTTTACTGTCGAGGACTAGAGTTTACTACAAGACTTACATTCACAACTATAACAATTATAGTGATTTAAGTAGATAGTATTTAACTAAAATTTATTATCTACTACTACTATATATTTGGTTCATTACTTACAAACACCAGTTTTGTTTTTGTTTCGGCTTTATATATAATTTTATTCATTCCCGTTGTTGTTGCATACAAATGTGTCATGCTTATATATTTTTGGTTCATATGTGTTTTGTTATTGTTTGCAAATTTATATCTAACATTATATTTGGTTCATTACTATCGCTTCTTGGTTCATTATTTTGAGTTATTTTTTTTTATTTCAATCCAAACCTTAATACTTTGGTAAACCGAACTCCAAACCGAACCGAACCGTACCAAACCGAAACCAAACCGAAACTTAATCGGTTTGTATTTGGTACATTTTCTATCAAACCGATTAAACCGAAACCGAACCGAAACCGAAGAAAACCGAACCGAAAACCGAAATGCCCACCCCTAATACAAACCTGTTGCTTTAACCTTTTGCCAGAACCTCGCCAAAATCCTCCTTGTGATCCCCCCTTCCAATAATAACAACCTTCTCAGCACCGTACTCACCTAAGCGAACACCACCGGACAAAACAAGCTAGGCGTTGTCTGAGGCGGAAACGTATACTAGTTACAGTTTCGGACATTTGGTTCTTTATGTCAGTTTTGCTTTGAAAATGTCAAATTGAATATAGTTCTTTAATAATATTTAAATTAATATTAATACGTAGTAATATTTTATACAATTGAAAAATAGACTAAACATTCAATTGCAACTTAAACAAATTTGAATAAAATAAAAAGTGTTCTACAAAATCAAAGAATAAATTCAAATTTCATTAACAATAATTTAAGAAATAAATCAAAGATCCTTTATTCAACCATAACACTTTGTACCTTAAAGAGCAAAAGGAGTGAACATATCCAAATTTAAGATATCTACCCCTACGGATACACCTGGGGTGAGGTATTAGTGAGGGGTAGGAAAACATACAATCAACTAGAAAGGTGAAACGCGTAAGAGCACAAACAGAGACGATAATGCTCATGTGACTTATGTCAACATTATATTACACCCAATTCTGTTATAATAGATTATCAAATGAGTTATACAATTAATTTAAATAATTACATTCAAGGGTATTTTAAACAAATGATTTTCTTATCTATTTTAACCAAGAAAAGTAAAAAAAGGCAATCCAAAACTATAATTCCGTTTTGCATCAAAAATTGATGTTTTTATTATAAATGATCCTACCATATTTGGAAAAAAGTAAATTGTTTAAGACTGTTTGGCATGCCATTTCAGTTCAAAAAAAAAGTGACTAGAATTTGTACGTAGGCTATGACCTAGATTATGAACTCATGACACTAAATCCGAATTCGGGTCGAACTTTTCCATGTCTGGACTTCAAGAAAGGGGTACCGAGGTCATTGTATTGGAAACGGATCTTCGCTCTGAAACCCCTCTCTCGACGAGTCGCGACGCGCCGGCGGTCGTTGCTGAAGTCCCACCTCTCGAATAAAACACATACACCGGAAAAGAAGCAAGTGTCCTGGCAGTTAAGTTCATTTGTATGCCTACAGAGTCGCCGGAGATCAGAATGGCGAAGCGCGAGCTATCCAGTACATTAAAAAACCTGAAGGTAAATTTGATTTTGACCGAGAAGAATTGATGTGTGGGAGATATTTTCATATAATGGTATACATGAAAGATTTGGAGTGGGTGTACTAAAACCAACCCAGTAATTACTCATTATTTGGGTTCCTGTTCATATCTGTTCTACTGCATTTTAAACATTATTGTGATGGACAACTTACTCCAAGATAGTCTTTTTATTGGAATTTGAGCTTAGTAAAAAACGAAAGGAATGGAAACAGGATTTCAGTGGATGCACACGGTGGAATTTGTATCTGTTACTATTGCTAACCCCCATCGATTTCATATTAAATCTTGGTAGTTGTGATTTGTGAGATTAACTATTAGGCTCTTTGCCTCCAACGTAGTTCTAATAAGTTGCTTGCTCATTCCAAAAAATTGGCTGTCCTTTATTGCAGTTTATGCAAAGAGCATCAAACAACAGAGAGGGAAAAGCTAAGCAAGCTGAAGACTACATGCCTGGTGGTAACTTACCATCTTCAAGTGCGCCCAAAAGATGGTAATTCTTTCTTCTGCATCTACATACAGATCTATATATGATCTTATTTTGAAGTGTAAGCAATGCTGTGTTGAAGAACTTGAATTATCATAGTGTTTTACGATCTATCTAGTCTTCCCCTTAGGGATTGTATTGGCATCAAACTCCAACTCTATTTTTAGTCTATACCATTTAATGTTCAGTTTAGGGAGTAGTATATTGGGGAGTTTCATGGGGTCATTGAGGTGGTTGTAGGGTTGGGGGTTGTTTGAGACAGAGGTTCTATTCTTGGGGCTCTAGTTGATGTATCACTCGATCTTCTACACATGGTCGAAGCATAGCAATCGAGACTCTCGTATCTTATCTTCAATAGGTGTTGCTCTCATTCCTCAAGCAGTCTTTTCTAGTATGTCCACACATCCAACACAACATGCACATCTCAACCACCCTCATCTATTAAATGTGACATTGTTTTACTGTCTAACCCTCAATATTGTAGGCCTAATGGCTGTTTAATAAAATTTAACCCATCAAATATTGCATTATGCAATGTCATAAAGAATTAAAGTCATTTGATGAAGGCTATTTTGCGAACACTATCACACTATGAGGAAGTAGTGTTCCTCTCTTGGAAGTAGTACATGGTATTGAGATCTCCATGTGGCATATAAATTTAAAAATCTATCTCCCTTCTTAAGTAATGCATGTTCTCAGATTTTTCCTTCTTGGTTCCCATTGCTTCAATTCCATTTTTTTTTTTTGTGTTAGATGAAATTTTCATGTCTTTCCAATTTCAGTGTCGTTATTATGGAAGGAGATCCTCATCCTGGGGCAAGAAAGGGCCGGATGTCATTCCAAAATTTTAACCCTGCTATTGATGTGAGTATAAGGTTTGAATGACGTGAAATATTTTCGCAAGTTTCTCTAAGTTCACTCTTCTGGCTTTCTGTCTGCTTACATGCAATATTTTTTATAGAAATTAAATGAAGGTCTAAAGCCTAGCAAATCAGAAGCATCTGAAACAACTTCTGGAACAAGTGAAATAATTTCTAATAGGTAACTTCAGTCTTTAGATTAACTGCAAATAAAATGGTTTCGTCATTATTGCTTGATTAATACAATGATATTTTGTAGATAAAGTACTAAACCAAAGCAAACCTTTTATTTAGAGTGAAGTCTAAATATGGGGTATGGTGTCATTACATAAATTTGGTAGTTATTTTAAAGATGTTTTTCCTAAAATATTACTAATAAATAAATTTATGGACATTTTTATAATCACTAAAATGTAACATTTAAATAGAATTACAGTTAGGGTCACATTTTTGTCCACTGCATTTATTTTGGTTATATATTTGAAATTATATCTATTTAAAATTTTCAAAAGTTCGTGCTTGATCTAGGATGTTTTTACTTGGACCGTAATTTGCTGGTCTGGTCTGTTTTGGTCTGGTTTGGTCTGGTCTGAAATTTTATTTTTTATATTTTTTGCATAAAGATTTTTTTTAGATATATTATAATCCATAAATAATTATATTTTATTCATTTATAATTACAAATAATAATAACAACAACAACAATAATAATAATAATAATTAGGGGTGTGCACTATCCGGTTTAAACCACAAAACCGGACCGAACCGGACCGGAAAAACTGGAACCGGATCGAATCGGAATGATATCCGGTCCGGTTCGGTACGGTCCGGTCCGGTTTTGAACCGGTGCACACCCCTAATAATAATAATAATAATAATAATAAGGGGTGTGCACAAGCCGGTTTAAACCGGAAAACTGGACCGAACCGGACCGAAAAAACCGGAACCGGATCAAACCGGAATGATATCTGGTCCGGTTCGGTCCAGTCTGGTTTTGAACTGGTGCACACCCCTAATAATAATAATAATATTAATAATAATAGTAATAATAATAATAATAGTAATTAGGGGTGTGCACTATCCGGTTTAAACCGGAAAACCGAACCGAACCGAACCGTTAAAACCGGAACCGGATCGAACCGGAATGATATCCGGTCCGGTTTTGAACCGGTGCACACCCCTAATAATAATAATAATAATAATAATAATAATAATAATAATAATAATAATAATAAAATATGGTCTGGTCTGTTTTAGTCTGGTCTGGTCTGTTTTATTCTGGTCTGATCTGGTCTGGGACGAATTACAATCTAAGTAAAAACAACCCTATACTTGCAATGTTGAGGTTTTAATTGCTTTTATTTGCCCAAGTTCCCAAGTAGTATCTTTAAATTTCTTATTCTTGTTCTGAGCTTCATTTTCATAATACATGATTACTTTAACTTTCTTATAAAGATATAAATTTGAAATTTATCTAGCTCTTAAATGACCTAATTGTTCCAGAGAAAATGGTTTGAGTCAAGATGGTCCTGAGAACTCATCAAATCTGAACAACTCAAGCACAGGTGCAACAGGGGATCACAAGAGGAAGCAAGGAGAAACATTTTCTGATGGCCATTTGCCCAACAAAACATATAAAAATGTGCATGGCTATGAAGGTCCATCTTCGAGTGGCAACAAGAAGTCCCAGAAGCAACCAAAGTGTGAAAAGTTGGATTGGAGTGTTCTTAGGCCACCGAAGTATCAAAATAAAAAATGTAGGTAAAGTTTAATTCTTTTTTTTTCTTCAGATGTTTTCCCATGGCATGCTTCTTTATGAATCAATCATCACTGCTATGTGTTGTAGTGCTATAAGGTTTGTTGTACTGTTGACAGTCCTCTTTTTATTTTTTATTCTCTGTCTGCAACTCTTTCTAACCATCATCACTTATGGTGGTACGACGGATGAATCACTTTACATCAAGGATCATACTTATAATATTATTTCTCCATGTTTATGAATTATGTTTTACTATAGTAGCTTGTGATCTATTATTATTGTGGTCATAAACCCTTCGACCTATCCTTAACCTGGATGAGTTGAGCTAATGAGACAATCCTTTGTAATTACTACAGGCTTTGACCCGCTTGGTTATCTTCACGTCATCCCTTTTTTCTTATAGTATGACTAAATTAGGATAAGTTTTCCATCTCAGCTATATGAACAATCTGCTCTGAACTTTTTTTTTTGAATGAATCTGCTCTGAACTTTCTGCAGTCTCAGAAAACAAAATCATCTTTGCTCGATTAATATGCATTTTCACAACTTTATAAATATATATATAAATATATATATATATATATATATATATATATATATATATATTTATATATATATATTTATATATACTTCGTATAAGAGAGAGAGAGTCCGTTTGAGGGCCTTCCCGGTGGAATTTTTCGATGATTTTTTTTGAGCATCTTCTTCATCAAGTCTAGTTTACCCATACCAAATTTCAGCTAAAAGTTCAATCCGGAAGGCAGTCAAATATTTTTTTTACAAAATACTGCGCTGTTTATATATATTAACTGCGCAGTATTCTTAAATAATTTATTTGTTTGTCTTCCTGATTGAGTTTTTAGCTGAAATTTGGTACGAGTAAAGTAGTAAACTAGACATGATAAAGAATATGTTCAAAAAATTTATAAAAAAAATCCACAAGGAAGGCCCTCAAAAAGGGCTCGGCCGGCCTGACAGGAACACCACTAGACACACACACGCGCACACACACACACACACAAAATTTCTTTCTTAATCGTTTTGCGACTATAACCTCTAAATTGATTATTTAAACAAGTTTGTGCGGAATCACGAAAAGCAAGACTTTCAGAAAACAAATAAGACAAATTTTCTTCAACAAGTAAGTTAGCCATACCAGTTAAATTTTATGCGTCATTGTATGAAAAATTATCAAAAGGTAATTGGTTATTTGCAAATCTCGATATTTAAGTTTGCTTCCCTATTTCGCCTAGGGATGGATTCGGACCGGGTCGGGCCCGGGCCGGGCCTAGGCCCGGTCAGGTCGCCGGTTCGTATCACATGGGCCCAGGACCGGCCCGAGGGTTGGAGGGGTCTGGTTCGGGCCGGGCCGGGCCACCCGCCCGGGTCATGGGTCGGGCCACCTGCCGAGCCGGGCCGGTTAAATATATATATATATATTTTTTAATTTATATTTTTTAATTTATAGTTTTATACAAGTATTAAAAAACAAACTTCAAGTGCATTTATTTGAAATGAAATAGGAACTACATTTGAAAATTAAATAGGAACTATAATTGTTTTTAATCGGAATCTCCGGCATAGGTAGAGCCACCCTCTGTTGTAGATTCATCCATAAAGTGTTGGGATGGAGTGATGTCAATTTCTTGAGCTCTACGTGTTGCTTTCAACCAATCGTGGTAGCATATAAGCATCTCAAGAGATTCAACGCTCAACCTCGTTCTGATTTGTGTTAGAACATTGCCGGCTGAACTAAATTCTTGTTCCACGGCAACCGTTGAAATCAGCATTGATAGCACTTGCTTAGCCCTCTTTGCTAAAACCGGGAACATTCTTTCTTTTCCCTTCCACCAGTTTAGTACGTCAAAATCATCATCTTCTTCAAAATCAACATCATAAGTTAAATACAAAGAAATCTCATTAATTGTGCTTTGTTGTGTAGCGGGAGTTGATTTCGTTTTTTTAATAAGTTAATAATCCGTATCCGCCGGAAATCCCCAAGCTATAGTTTTTCTTGCACCAATTGCAAGTTGCGGTCCAATTCCCGGTGTTCGGGTCCTTCCACTTAGAAAAATTATTAGCCATTGATTCAGATTTACTTTTTTTTGTACCTGTTTGGGATGAGGCTGGTGGTCGGTGTTATGGCTGCCGCCACCCTCCTCCTCCTCGTCGTCGTGGCTCTCCGGAATTGCTTCATCCACATCGTCGTCCTCGTCATCGAGCTCTTCTTCGTCAATGGTCCTCGGTTGGTCTTGAAAAAAGCGGGAATTATGTCGGTGCAATTCTTGTTCTAGTTGTTCGTCGGTCATCGCATCCCCATCCCTCCTTACGTAACCCGTATCAAAATCATCTCGACTTTGAGATGAAGAGCCGATATGTGATTTACCTTTGCGGGATCTCTTCCTCGCAAGCTCTTTCGTTCGGTTGCGCTCGAGGTTACCCATATCAACCGAATATCTAGGACGATCCATCTAAAAATGTAGCGATTAATAAAAAATTGTAAAAAACTAATTAACTATTTATGTAACTATTAAATCGAGTTATAACAAATTAAGTATTGAATTAACTAGTTTTGTGTACAACATATTTTTTAAACTAGAGTCAAATGTAACAATTAATAAAATATTGTAAAGAACTAATTAACTATTTATCTAACTATTAATTCGAGTTATAGCAAATTAAGTAGTGAATTAACTAGTTTTGTGTACAACATATTTTTTAAACTAGAGTCAAATGTAGCAATTAATAAAAAATTGTAAAAAACTAATTAACTATTTATCTAACTATTAATTCGAGTTATAGCAAATTAAGTAGTGAATTAACTAGTTTTGTGTACAACATATTTTTTAAACTAGAGTCAAATGTAGCAATTAATAAAAAATTGTAAAAAACTAATTAACTATTTATCTAACTATTAATTCGAGTTATAGCAAATTAAGTAGTGAATTAACTAGTTTTGTGTACAACATATTTTTTAAACTAGAGTCAAATGTAGCAATTAATAAAAAATTGTAAAAAACTAATTAACTATTTATCTAACTATTAAACAAGAGTCAAATGTAGCAAATTAACTAGTAATTAAACAAGTGTAAATAATAGAATAATTTCGTACCTCTTTCGAACTTTCGGTCTTTCGGATGGGAGTAATAGAATGACTTCAAATTAATTAGATATAATTCCAACTATATTAATAGATATAATAAATATATAAGTAATATATAATTAGATAACAAATATAAGTAATATAATACTATTTATATCTATTTATAGTTTATATAAGTAGATAATTAATATAAACTATAAATAATAAATATAATATATTGGAGAATGGAGAATAAGAGAATTAGAGAGTAGAGAGTTAAGAATAGGATTTAGGAAGAATGGGAGAAGAGATATGAAAAAATGTGTAAGATTAGGAGTATTTATAGGTTTTTTTACCCCCCACCCCCCACCACCACCCCCCACCACCCAACCCCCCCGGACCCCCCCCCCCCCCTTTACCCCACCCAACGGCTATATAGTCGTTTGGGTTGTCCCCACCCCCACCCCCAACGGCTAGTAGCCCACTAGCCAAGAGCCCAAGACCCATTTTTTTTTTAAATTAAGACCGGACACGGGCCCGGGCTCGACCCGGCCGGGCCGGGTCACATTAATCCAGCACCGAGCCCGCCCCGCCCATTCCCACCGGTTCGGGTCCATACCCGGTCCCGGGCCCGCACAGTACCGGGCCGGGCCGGGCCGGGTCACGGGCCGGGTGGCCCGAACCGAATCCACCCCTAATTCCGCCGCCTAATTTTGCATACTCCACCGTGTGTTTGGACAATTGGACTTAAGATGCCTTGCCGCAGATCCGTATCTGCCGGAAACCCCCAAGCTATAATTTTTCTTGCACCACTTGCAAGTTGCGTTTCAATTCCCGGTGTTCGGGTCCTTCCACTTATCAAAATTATTACGCATTAGTTCATATTTACTTTTTTTTTCGTACATGTTTGGGATGAGGCAGACTCATCGGTGTCATGGCTGCCGCCACCCTCTGCCGTGTCGCCGTCGTGACTCTTCGGATTTACTTCCACCACATCGTCGTCCTTGAGCTTTTTTTCGTCAATGGTCCTTGGCTTGTCTTGGAGAAATCGACTATTATGTCGGTGCAATTCTTGTTTTAGTTGTTCGTCAGTCATGGCATCCCCATCCCTCCATGCGTAACCTGTATCAAAATCATCTCGGCTTTGAGATGAAGAGCCGATATGTGATTTACCTTTGTGGGATTTCTTCCTCGCAAGCTCGTTCGTTCGGTTGCGCTCGACGTTACCCATATCAACCGAATATCTACCACCTTCCATTTTAAAAATGTAACAAATATTAATTTATAAAAACAATTCAAACTAATGAAATAAAATTCTAACAATTCTAACTTTAATGAAATAAAATTCTAACAATTCTAAATAAGTAGATATAAATTGTAATATGTATGTATTTAGTAGATATAAGTAGATAATAAGTAGAGATTATATAGATAACAAATATAAGTAATATAATATATGTATTTATAAATAGATACCTAATATATAACTATATAAGTATATAAGAAATATAAGTAATATAATATATGTATTTATAAGTAGATAAATAATATAAGTAGATATATAATATATTGGAAAATAAGAGAATTTGAGAAGATGAAGATAATTAGAGAATAGAGAGTAGGATTTCGGAAGAGTTGGAGAAGAGATATGGAAAAATATTTAAGATTAGGAGTATTTATAGTTTTTTACCCCACCCCCACCCCTCACCCCCACCCCACCCCCAAACCACCCGGACCCCCCTGCCAGCCTACCCAACGGCTATATAGCCGTTTGGGTAGTCCCCAGCCCACCCCCAATAGCTATTTGTGGCCCAAAACAATTTTTTTAAAAATTTTGACCGTTGGACCCGGGTCACCTTTTACCGGAACCGAGCCCGCCTCGCCCTTCCCCCCGGTTCGGGTCTACACTCGGTTCTGGACCGCCAGACTGGGCCGGTCCCGGGCCCGCACAGTAGCGGGTCGGGCCGCGTCACGGGCCGAGTGGCCCGAACCGAATCCACCCCTACACACACATATATATGTTGGTATGAATTAGGCTCTAGTGAGAAGGGTGCTTCTCGTAAGAAGTGAGAATGCATCCGCTGCGTTAAATTTTAGAGCTAATGGTTGTTAAAGTGTAACAAATGTTAAAAAAGTGACGAGTGATGTGGCAGTTTTGTAGTTAACTTGAACTTTTTTGTCATCAGGTAAAAGTGCATCACATAAGCCTAAAATTGCAACAAAAGGAGTAAATGTGAATCCTCATTTC